TTAAAAAGAGTTTTGGAAAATGTCAAAGTGAATTTCTATATTTCTTCATTTTTAACAGTATTATTAACGTCCTTGGTTTACAAAAAGGATACCAAAACTCATGTATTAGCTTATAGACATGGTATTAATAATAATAATCAATATTCCTCCAGAATGCCAAAACTGTACACTGTAAAGTGCTGTATGTTTATCAAGGCAGGCAATTATCCATTCAATAGTAAGCTGTGAGTAAGCCATACTTATTTGTTTGAAATATATATTTCAAAAAAACTTGCATAAATGTATGGGAAAAAATTTTATATGTTCAAGGGAAAAACTATATAGTCTAGAGAAAATATTCATTTGTGGTTACCCCCGTGCATCCTTCATTTACCAATTTACATAACCATATGATATGTATATAACAGCCTATGTCTATGTTCCTAAGCTGTCAGATAGCCTTAGTAAATGATCCAACTATTTTTGTGCTATCATGTTATTAGCAACGTAGCAAAAATAACTTACGACCCACCTTTGTGAAATTTTTTGTGAGAATTAGCAACCATAGCAAATCTTGAAAATATAAAGAGCAGCCACGCTGGAGAAAGAACTATTATAAATAACCTTCATGTAATGCAGTATGGTGCTAAGTGGGACCAGTGTAAATGAGCTGTCTGAAAGCAATGCTTCATGCTATTACCTTTGATGTTCTTCCCTGGGGCTCCAAGAGGGCATGAAGGGAAACTGAAGTAGCTTTCCTCTGCCTTGCTCTTGGTAAATTATTTTATATAGACTCATGGTAAATTATCCATTTCTTTTCCCAGAACAGAGTAAGTCATACTGGATTACAGCTGAAGGGCTGGCAGTAGAGGGGAAGGTTTTGTTTTAAACACTATTGATAGAGAATGAACAGAACAGGTGAGAAGCTCCACTGCGAACTCCAAATTACATGAGCAACATGAGGCAGTAGCTACAAATACGGCACTCATCATAAAGATATCCAATGTGTGCCTTTCCTGATGAAAAGATCCTTTCCTAGTGGAAGGATCTCTGGGTCTGAATGTTTAACAAAATTCATAAGTCCATGTGAGGTATTCCTGAACAGTTGCCAGACAAGAGCTTAGAAAAATACAGGCAAAATTTTTCTCTCTTAATCTTATAGAAACCTGAAGTGAGAAAGCAGGTAGATTGTCTACCTTGAGAGAGCCATTAAATGAGAAAGAATCATACAAAATATAGCTCATTACCCCAAGAGCAATCCATCAGGGATAAACTCTATGCCAATATCTGAAGTAACCAATGCAGTTACAAGCTCATTAATTTAACAATATGTCCAGGAGCCTGACTGAGGCTGTGAGTCTGAGATCTCATAACCAAATTCTTTGAAACCACATGTCTGTAGAGCAGCACTTCCAAATCCTGACTGATACCAGTGATTGACATTGCAACGTGTGAGATCAAGAAAATCACTGAGACTTAATTTTAACCTCAAAGTACCAAACACATCCCAAATTTATAAGAAAAGCCAATGAGTAAGATTCTTTCTAGTTGAATTTATCTTCTTCCATCTTGTATTCTAGTCTATTGACAGACTAGGTGCCTAATTTCCTGGATAACGGAGAATGACATCTGGTAACCCAAAGTGCAGAGGTCAAGTCTGTACACAGCAGAGACCCAGTAGTGCTCACTGATCATTATGGTGACAGGGAACAAGGTGGGTGAGGGCTTACCGTTGCAGCCAGCCACATAATTTCTACATTCTTCCTTTTTTTGGCTTGGATATTTTGATGGAGATTTTCTAATAATCCTTTTAAATCATTTTGTTCTTGAAAATGTGAAATGTCTGAAAAAAAAAAAGAACAGAGGAAAAAAAAAAAGAGGAAACCATGTTAGTACTAAGCAGCCCATGGAGTTTTCTCTAATGTTTGCAAATGCAATTTCTGCAACAACAAATGCCAGTTGGAGCGGAGAGTATCTGAGGATAATCATACTTATTAATCCTTCCAGTTTTACTCTCCACTTAGAAATATGCCTCAGTCCCCCTTATTCCCTATGGTGTGTAACTGTGGTGATGCCACTTGGTCATAAAATACTAAGAAGGGAAACGTCTTTCATGATGATAGCTGCCTCACTTCAACCAAAGTGTACGACGTGAAATACAACTTTCCATTTTTTCCTACTGAGCAACTAGTCTGAATCGTGGGACTCTATCAAACTGAATATCTCAGACGTGGAATTTGAAAGTTCAGCTAAAACACATGAAGTCAGCTTCTACAGAGCAAGATTCCTCAACCTAGACAATACTGACATTTTGGGCTGGATAACATTTTGTTGTGGGGAGTGGGTCTATGTTCTGCATTGTAGGATGTTAAGCAGCATCATTTAGAAGCCTTCCCACTGTGACAACCAAAAACATCTCCAGTTATTGCCACGTGTTCCTTAAGGGCAAAATCTATCCTGGTTGCGGATAACTTCTGTTAAGAAGCATGGGTATGGATGGAAAGAGGAAAAACACCAGAGGTGATAGTTAATTATATAAGACAACTGGGGAGGGAGCAGGCAATGACTGACTGCCCAGATCTCTACATACTAATAACTAGAGCTCGGGTAACAAATGTCCTATGGTTTATATAAAAATCTAAGGCAATGCACATTATGACACAAGTGTCTCTGAGACTCGGTGAGATGAAATTCCAGATTAGAATACAGTGATGAAAACAAAAAGCCTTTGTAAGAGAGTAGTTGCAACAGCACCGAATGGTATGAAAATACACTCTACCGTGGAATCCATAAACTGAGGGATGAAGAATTCCTTAGAGCTTTAATTGAGGCTAAAAACAGGAGAAAACACATAAGAACAGTATGAACTACATCTAGGGTATCCAGGCACATTGAAGAAATAAACGCATGATATGTTCCTGAATCAGATCACAAAAAAATAACACAAATAAGCTTTAATCATGACTCTCGGCACCTTCCAAAATTGTACCAGATGTTTAATTTTATTAAAATAATATTTCTGAGTAGTTTTTGACTTTAGCTTCAAAAAGTAGAGGGAATATCCTAGTAAACTGTGCTAGCAATCTGTATCTTCGAAAGAGTGGACGTGGTTGGTAAAATGGAACTGCCCATTGAAAACAATCATCTATCATCTTGAATTCCAGGACCACAGGCTAGAGGAAAGTCAGGTCCAATCTAGATTCATACCCTGTATTAGGAAGGTGAGATTCAAAACGTTCATACAAATATATGCATGAAATGGGAAATGGGAAAAGTGTCAAATATCAAATCCTTAATATGTTAACTATAGATGACTCTCTTTAAGAAAGAGAAGCTTGGACTAAAGATATTGCATTGCCAGGTAGGAGACTATCTAATACAGAGAGATTTTAACAGGACATGGTCCAAGAATAAAGGGAAGGCGCTATAATGGAGAATGCCTTGAAGAGAGTTGCAAAACCAACTCAAGACTCTACAGCTCATCAAAGAAAGTAAGGACAACAAGGGTGTCTTCTAATTGACACTTGGCGCACACGAGGAGTAAGTCAGGTCTACCAGCACTGCTCCTAATGTTCATAAATGGCGACTAAAACAAAACCCGAAACAGTCCCCGAATTAGAACTCTAAGCAGCAATTTTAAATTGTGTACAAATAAGTTATTAATATGGAAAGTGCCCTTGACATTGCTGAAAGGAAAAATTGGTCACATTAGTAAATGAGTCTGTGTAACGTGTGAGTGTGCACGTGTGTACATGTTTACCTCTCTTTCTATTTGAATGTAGGCAGAGCTAGATACCCGTTTAGATACTAACAGTGTCCATCTTTAGGTTGTTGGGATTTAGGGCGATTTTTCAACTGCCTTTTTTATGTCATTTGGGACCTTTAAAATAAATATGTATATACAATTTTAAAATAATACAGTGATTTGTAAGAGCAAGGGAGAACAGAGTGAATATGTTTAACAAAAGGGAAAAAACCCCAAAATTCTTATTATACAAAGACCTGATCTCTAGGTCTCCACAGTCTAGTAGGGTGGGATCAATTTTTAAACCATTATTAACTGCAGTAAAGTGTACTGTGGACTATGCTACAAGCCAGTACAGGTAATAATGGGGGCCTAAGAAAAGGACTGGCCAGTTTTCTAAAGAATGGTTGGATGTGGAAAGGTTTCTATTAAAGGTAATGCTTTGTCTACAGAGAGCATTTGAGGCCAAAAGAAACATGTCAGCAAAGACATGGACCGGCGAGGCAGTGCTGCAGAAGCAGGGGGCTTGCAGTTCCATGTCCTTGGAGGGCAGGGTCCCAGAGGCAAGAATTAGGAAGGGCCTGCTCTGCTATTCTGGGATATCTGAGCTTCATCCTCAAAAATGGAAGCACCTGGTAAATTCTAAATACGGACAATATCATTTCTGAGAGGCCCTCAAGACACTTTCTGAAGTCACCTGGTACAAAACACTTTCAAACATTTTTTTAAAGCAATATAGAATAAGAATTTTACTTTCTTTAATGTCCCACAGCAGGTATGCATACACATTCACCCTTCTGCAACAACACTTTTATAAAATAATATTTACCCTTAGTGAGTACACTGCACCCTGTATATATTTTGTTCTATTCCATCATGCTTTCTTTTGAATGTTGGTCCCAATCCACCAAATTGATTTCACACCTATAAGGTCAACCCAAAAACTGTCCAAGTTGCTTAGGTGACTTTTTCACAAGGTTCACAGTCAGAGGAAGAGTCAAGTCAAAAATCCAGTCTCCCAACTCCTATGCCAGTAATTTCCCTCAAATCTGCGTTAGTGTCTTCACAACTGGTGGTACAAAAAAGCAATCTAGTATTAACACAGTGGACCAGCTTCTTGAAAATTCCGAGACTCCACAAGAAAGCATAACAAATTTTCAAAATAATTTAGTTTCATAGTTGAAATGGAGATTTTTTTAAACAGCCATTTAAAACAGACTATAAGGTTCCTAAAAATAAGTTGAGCAAATGGCCATCTTTTGCACATTTCTACCCCATAAAGATAGTGCTATCAGATACACAGAAATGATATCCGACAGAAATTTCACCCTTTCTCCCCATGGCATGCTTCTTAGAAGAAGGTCATCTTGATGTTTTTAAAATTTCAGCCACTGCTTCTATTTTTGTAATGATGGAACTTGCTTATTCAGAGCACACCCCCATCAGTCCAACACCCTGGCTGCTGCCAATTGTTTTCAACCTGACGAAGATCCTGCAGGCTGTAGAAATTCAGGTCCAGTTCTGGAAAGTAGCAGCATTAATAAAGACTAGTACTGTGCATTACTAGGTGAAATTTCAAGAGATAATGATCGATCCTGATATACCAACTGAAAATCATGGCATACAAGGAACATGGCTTTAGACTTAGAATGAGTTTCCTACAATGTAAAATATAGCCAATAAATCTTGCTTTTGCTACTCACTCTGGCAGTTCTCTAGCACCAAATTTAGACAGAACAATTGACTACACCAACCTCCATAAGAACATTCTTTTTTTTTCAGGTGGAGTTCAAGAAGGTAACCAGAAGTTGAAAGGTATAAGAATGTTCATTGCCCTATCGCTTATAATTAAACAGCAGCAAGAAATTTAAATGATATAAAGAGAACAGAAAAACTGTCAGGTATATGTGTGTGTGTGTGTGCGTGTGTGTGTATGTGTATGTATGTGTGTGTGTATGACAAGAAATATTATATAATAGGCAAAAAATGAATAAACGTGCTGTATATATCAACAGATATATACTAAAAACTATGTTGAGCAAAAAAAAGATTCATACAAGATAATAGCAGCAATATAAAGTTAAATGTACAAAACTGTACCACATTTTTATGGATACATACCTATGCAGGAAAAATATGTATGAGAACATAAAACACCAAATTCAAGGTATTGATTTTCTCAGAGAAGGGAAGGTGAGGGATGGGAACTATAAAAGGTACAAAGGGGGCTTCTACTCTGTCTATAAATATTTGTTTCTTACAAAATTTCTGAGACTGAGCGATGGGGTCCCCAGTGTTTGTACTTTATGATCTGCTCCTTCTTTTTGTTTGAAACATTCAATATTCTTTTTAAAGAAAGCACTGAGCCAAGAGTCCAGGAAAATGGCTTCTAACGCTAACTCCATCCCTGCTTTGACATGTGGTCATAGGCGAGTTGCTTAACCCTCTGTCCTTATTTTTTCGACTGCAAAGTGAGGACAATGACCCTGACACGCTTCATTGACTTGGAGTGGAAAACAATTAATAAAAGTCTTGGCAGAAGAGGCTACATTATTAAATTCTGTGTCAACTCGGAAAAACAGAAGCAGACATTCGTCCTAAGGAAGTGTACATAGCCTCAGATAGGAAGCCTGCTTTCTTAGAAAAAAGTCCGAATTTACCCAAAGTAAGAAATAGGCTCTCACAGATGCATAGACGATCGTGACCCCAAACATTCACAAAGCCGGTGACTATCCTCTTGCCACTCCCCAGTGGATCAGAAGAGCTAAGTTCAAAGTCCCTTTGTAGGGTCTCTTCTTCCTTGCTTTGTCAAATAGGATTTCTTTAACAGCAGTTCTGAATATGACATTGATGTGACTCAAAGACAGGGAGAGTCTGACAAGTGAACAGGAGTGGGACCATGTGCTTCTACGTGCTCTAGCTCACTGAGCTGTGATGCTAAGGAGGCCAAGGCAACGGCTTCATCACCTCCTGGTCAAATGATTTTCTGTGGTTAGAGAATGTTCCAGCATACAATGAAAATTACAGCCGCCTTCCCGTTACCTGTTCCACTCATCTTCCCCTACGTTGCAGGCACAACATTTACAGGGATCAGTCAC